TGGCCGAGCGGGAGGCCGACCACGGAGGGCACGCGGCGCTCGCGAGGCGGGTCGCGGAGGCGGCAACCCACTACGCGGCGCTGTTCGACTCGCTGGAGGCTACGCTGCCGCCGGGGAGCGGAGAGCGGCTGGCCGTCGAGAGGGTTTGGCTAGGGCGGGAGATTGCTGACGTGGTGGCGGGAAGGGTGAGGCACGAGAGGTTCGGGTCGTGGGAAGGACTTATGGTTGGGTCGGGTTTCGCGAGCGTGCCGCTAAGTGGGTTTGCGCTCTCGCAGGCTAAGTTGCTGCTAAGACTACATTACCCTTCGCAAGGGTATCAGCTGCGGGTGTCCAATGGATCCTTCTTTCTCGGATGGCAGAATCAGCCGCTTTTCTCGGTCTCTGCTTGGCGCGCTAATTGAGTGATTAATTAATTAGTTTGTCGCTGTTGGTAACTTTAATTAACTTCTTTTTTATTAATTAGTATTAGTATTAGTATTCTCTCCTTATTAAACCCTAACCCTAAAATTTTACCTCCTGCGTGGAGCATTTTAGGAAGTTAAATTCTTCATCTGGATACATATGTTTTTGTTACATAATCCTTATTTGTACTATTATGGGTATTAATTAATTAATAATCCAATTTAATAATTTGTGAGTGTAAAGTTATTATTTTGTTCTCTTTTTAATTATTTTTGGGGGAAAGATTAAGATTCCATGTTTAATGTTATGTCATCTTATCCGATAAATCTATGTATTGGGCTTTTGTTGATGAGGAGGCAAATTAAGAATGGTGATGTGGCGCATTTAGATATTGATGTGTGTTTTAAAGGGTGGGAAATATGGGATATTCCTTGTTATAAAGTGTGTTGATTGATGATCACCACTTAATAGTGGTGAGGGCTATTTGTCATTATGTAGTGATGGGTTGGTTTTATATCAATTGTTTTTCATGTTTAATGCTATTAGTGTATCACTTTTTTGTTCCACAATATTTTAAATCATATATACGCCTTTTGATTCTTCAAGATAGGTGTAGCTTAACTAGCCACTTCCTTATCTCTAGTATATATTGCTTTTCAAATCGTGCTTTAAANTTTAAAAGGAAAAAAAAAAAAAAAAGATAACGAAATTATACCTTTGGTGATAGTTAGGTCATTCTCGCACCAAATTAAATTCCTTTTTCTAGATTCGTAATATATATAGTATATACTTGCGAGGGTTTCTTGTTTTGTGCACAAACGAAGCCCGTATATACCTACCTCTTGTCTCGGATACTTTACACATTCCAATTTCAATTAATATTAATTTTTATTAATTGCCCCCAAAATCCTGCGTTTTGTCCCCTCAGCAAAACCATAAAAGTTGTCAAAATATGCTTCTCTCCCTAGCTACAAATTTTGCAACGGGGGATCTCACCTCGTGTCTAGTGGTTTTCCAATAGGACCACCCTTTTTTTTTTATATATATATATTTCTTCTTGTCCATTATATATATTCCTCTTGTTTGTGTACGCACACACTTACACAAACAACTCCTTCGTATCATGTTTTCCTTTTTGCGTGTTGGTTAATGTTTTCGTGGAACTTGTACAACCGTAACATGTATAATCTTAGTTCTGACATAGAGCAGGAGTATTTTTACAAACAATAAAGTAAAAGAGTCCACCGATCCAAATAACCAATCCAAGGGTAAAAAAAAAAAAGAAAAAGTATTTAAGTTTTTTCTTTAATTTGACCTTATTTGGTAACCTAGAGAATAATTCAAATAATGTGTAAATTTAATAGTTATTGATTTTAAAATTGATGTAATTTGTAAAATAATACGTGTTATTATGTCAAAAAAATATAATATTTATATATTACATGTATATAAACATATTATATCGTGAAATGTGCATAGTTATGAGGTCCGAGCCGTAACAGGTAAAAGAAAGATCCTGAAATCTTGTTATTCAGTGGAATTAAAAGTAAAAATAAATTAGGGTTTTATATTTGGGAGAGAGTGACAAGATTGATGGTGATGGGGGCAGTATATATAGTAAATTGGGGAAGCCCACGCAACAGCTCTGCGCATCAACAATGCATACTTTTGCTTGTATGTTTTGCTATAAATTTTGGTCATTTATATACTCTTTGGGATCATATAATTGCCTGACACCCCACGCATGCCTTCATTAATATGGGAATATTATTTCCATCTCTCTCTCTCATCCATCTATCCATGCCTTAATTTTTTAGTTTCATTAATTTCTTTTTTGTTCTTTTCCTTTTGTACTCGCGGAAGAACAATAAATATGTAGATACCACCGTTTTAATTTGGATATTATCTAATAAATGAAGAAAATAGAGCTTCAATTAATAAAAATATATGAATTTTAAAAAAATAAAATTAATTAAGAACAATTGTAAGCCATGAGAATAAAACTAAGAACTATTGTATATGAACTTACAAGTTTTTTTTCTTAATTAAGAACTACTAAAGAACAAATAGTTCTTTTTGTTCAAGTTTTTATTGTATACAGTAGTTTTTTTTATGAACTATTGTATATGAATTACTTACAATAGTTCATATACGAATAGTTCTNAAAGAAAACAAAAACAATTAATTAAGAACTATGGTAAGCCTTGAGAATGCTAAATATCATTTTTAGTACACTAATTTGGCCATTTTCTGAAAATGGTCCGTCATGTAGGACGTCTTCAAGAATGGTCCACTAAATTGTCATTTTAATCAAAACTCGTACAAAAGTCAACATAGTGTACTAAATATGACAACTAAAAATGATCACTTTTAGTACACTATTTTGGTTATTGTACGAATTTTGATAAATTGGCAACTTACTGGACCATTTTTTATGACGCCCTAGACGATGGACCTTTTTCGAAAAATGACCAACATAATATACTATTTTTGAAATTTTGCCCCAGGAGAACAACAAATATGCAAGTTTTTTTTTTTCTCTAAATTAAACAAGATAAACAATATTCTCACTTCCCTATCGGTCATAGATGAAGCATCTTACCACTATGGCATAATTGGTATGATGGAATGACATAGGAATGGAATGATCATTCCTTTACTCATTCCTTATCCCATGATTGGTATATTTTTTGGGAATGAATGACCATTCCAATGGGAATGGCAAAACCCATCTCCATGGGATTAGTCATTCCATAAATTGAGGGTTTTCTCATTTCCATGTGTGTAGGAATCAATTTTTCAAAAAAAAAATTAACAAATAATAATAAAAAATAAATATATAATATATAATATAAATTATGATTAAAATATATTAAATAAAATTATTTTAAACAAAAATTCAAATAAAAAAATTGAAAACTTACTTATATTTATTTTTTTATTAGATATATTAAATACTTATATGAAAATAAAACTAAAAAAAGTATTTATATATAATTTATATTTTTTATATATTAAAAATATATTACTTTTAAGAATATATTACTTTCTATATATAATTTAAAAATATATTATTTTATTTTTATATATTATTAAAAATATATTAATTTTTATATTATTAAATAATATATTATTTTATTTTTATATTATTCAAAATATATTATTTTATTTTTATATATTATTAAAAAAGCATTTATATATAATTTATTAAAAGTATACTATTTTTTAAAAAAACTTTTATTTATTTTTATAATAAAAAATGATAATGTCATTCCATTCTAGTCTTATTCCTTCTTCATACCAAACGCATGAATGACAAAACATGTTTCATTCCATTCCCATAATCATTCCATTCTTCAATTCATTCCATTCCTACGAAATTTCATTCCATCGTACCAATCATGCCATAAGGTGTCAGTGGTCTCATAAAGAATGCAAGTTAATCCACTGCATTTCCATAATTTCAGTAAAGTAATAATGAAATAATGAAAGGCAATTTTCATGTTTCAATTTGTTTTATTTTATTTCAAAATTAAACCAGTCTACAAATATTTTTTCTTGGTATGTTAATACTGATAAATAAATTATGCTAAGTGAATTTGTGATGCACATAATTCTACAATTGCACTATATTTTAAATAATCTATTTGATTATTCGAATACCCTTCAACATGTAAATTTTGAAAATGAACCATAACTGGTGAGTAAAATTTTACAATTGAATTGTGTATAATAGGGTAAATTATAAAATTGGACAAATGACTACGCGGTTGTGTCAAGATATACAACTTCTTGCATTTAAATCCATAATCTATTATTAATTTTCTTGTTCAGTCCCCACGTAAGCTTTTTTTTCCCTAAACACTCCTTAACCTCTTTTCCATTTTCAAGTCAACTATCTATAATATAATACTATTATTATATCATTAAAAAATTAAAAAATGTTGAGCTCGTCGTGTCTAGGCTGCCCGATCTGCCCGAACTGTCCAATTCTGACGCCACAGTCATATCCATGTGTGGTCCTTATCCTATTTAATATTCTTTCTTATTTATTAATCTTTCTTATTAGACTGCCTAATCGTGCAATCAACTCGAGTCCTGTTGAGGTAGAATGTTGTGCGTACAAAGCTTACGTGTTGTCCTTTTGGTCGATCATTCGACCAACCATACCATCAGGTCGAGTTTCCATCAGGACATCCGAGGGCCCTAGCTGGACCTATCGTTACCCCTTCAAAGTTCTCACGTCTTCTTCGACCTAAAGACTACTCTGCACTGGCGCTCGACTTCTGTTTGACCTTCCTGCGGCTCTGTTCGACTAACCGGTTCACTCGGTCTGGTCAGCCGGTTTATTGGTTTTACTGTACCTTGTGTGGTATCTCATATCAAGATTGACTGGTTTTTATGCATTTGCAAAATGTATGTTCATGTCTAGTATATGATGTCTATGTATATAAACTCAACATATGTTATGTATAAATTCATAACATGTTGTTTTTGTCATTTCAACTGTATATATAAGTTTAGTATATGTTTTGTATAAGTTCACAACAAGTTGTTTTGTCCTTTCATCCATATGTTTTATGTTCAGTATGCTAAGTACATATTCACTAAACAAAATATGTTACACAACAGGCTGACTGATTTTATGCCGTTGCATGCAATCATATCCAGTATATGATAATATATGTTCATTAAACTTAATATTTCGTATATTTTCAAATTTGTTCATAGAAGAATATTTATAGATCGGGTAGATTGTATATATTTGAGAGGTGATGTAGTTTGAAATTTTCAGATTCATTCTTTGTCTATTTTTTAGTGAACATCTTATTTTCAGCATAACTAATTACCATATATAATAAGTTTTTTTTTTTAAATAAAAAACACATGACATGCACAATTAAAGGAGAAGAGTTGCATTATATATTTGATAACTATTATGGTACAACTTTAAGACGAAACTGCCATATTATTAAGACAAAACTGTACATCTTGAATTAAGTTATATAACATGGTATAGGTGAAAATTCATATAAACCGCCATATTATTAAGACAAAACTGTGTGTGGTATAGGTGAAAATTCATATAAATTGCACCCATATTATTAAGACAAAATAAACCGCCACCATTACCTAACCTACTAAATTATTCTTCTGTCTCAATTCTGAACCTTTAACACGACTCGTCTCTGATTTATTAGCCAACAATCACACCCCCCAAAAGTACTAAGGACTTTAACGATANAAGGACTTCAAACACTGAAATGAAGATACGGATATGCAACTTGAACCTCGATTGAGCAATGTTAACACAAACCCATTCAACTAAAAGTAATCAAGGCAAAACAACATTGTTGCATTTAGTTTCTAGCTCAAATCAAGCAAGACCACGAAATACCATGTCGATACAAAATAGACACAAACACACTTGGGCACCCATTGCAACAGTTGAAATCTGCACACTAGTCTAATACCGTTTGCAGGCCACAACAGAACTGAAATATGTACAATGAGACTAAATGCTCGAAATCTCAAATTTATAATTATTATTTATTTCAAATAATCAATGATTCGTATGAGCAGTTTGATTCCTTTTCCCTTATCATATCGATCAGAGTCCCTATAACATACTAACCATGCTTCAAATTCTGAAAAAGCTATACTACCCCTGATTACTCAATTGATTAGTCCAAGGCATAATTTATGTGAATATCATCTATACTGTTTGATCCAATTCCATCTCTTTTGCTGAGTCGAAGCTGATTGTCTAGCAGGAGAATGATGTAAAGATATGCCATGGGGAGGATAAATAAGAGCAACAGCCATATCATTCATAGGGGAAATTCTTTTTGCAGAATATCAAGATTCCTCGAGTCGCATGCTTCCAGCATGTCATTCCGTGATGCACAGCTGAAAATTAAAGGTGACAATTTCATACACCAAAGATGACAGTAAGGACCAATGAAAGATCTGTTATATAATGCAATTTACCTCAATGAGATTCTCAAATACTGCCAGGCATTGTCTGCCTTGGGGTTCATTGCTAATGCCCGGACATAGTAACGAATGGAATCTTCATACATGCCCTGAGAGAGAGAGAGAGACAAAANAGGAAAAACATTCGTAACGCATGATAAATCAAATGGGTATATAACCAGGAATTGATATGTTAGCAAAATTGAGGCCACAAGGCTAGAGTTGTGGATGAAACATGAAAAAATACGAGATTTCATTATATATGGAGCAGATTTTCCCATAACAGCATGTGGCGGGTGAATATGCATTTAAAATAGACGCTCGCAAGTCAAGATTTATTTCATTGAAACTGAAAATGAAACAAGAAAAGTTGCACTAAAAATACTGTTCATTACATGTCACTATTTTCTCTGCAATCCCATCAACACAAATGAATAAAAAATAATCATTAATTTATATTGTTCATGATAAATGAGCTTGGGTAGAACTCATCCCCATAAGCTAGCTCAAAGAGAGAGGGTGCCCAACCCACACTTAAACACAGTAGCCTAGTAACTAATATTGATGTGGAACAAACATAACTTTTTACACCCTCCCTCACGCGCGGCGTGCCAAACAAAATAGGCCGGGTCTAAAACCCACCATCGCCTCCAAACAAACAAAATATGGGTGCTCTGATACCATGATAAATGTGGATTTGGGAAGAACTTATCCACAAAAGTTAGTTCAAAAAGAAAGAGTGATCAACCCACACTTATATACAATAACAGCCCAGTAACTAATTGATGAGGTGGGACAAACATAACTACTAACATTCCTCGAAAAACAATATTCACCTACTCATATATTTCTACTACCGATCATTATCAATTAATATTATATAACTACAATTTTAATCATTACATTTTAGTCATGTCTGTTTACAGCCTCAAATCTATCTTACCATTCCTAGAAAGAACTTTCTCAAGTTTTCAATCCATATTTTCGAACGAGAAATTTTTTTAGAAATATATTATATCCAATCAACAACCTAAAAAGCTCACTTTATGCTTAGTTCAAACTTATTTCAGCTAATGCTCCAAAAGTGCTTATGTTATAACATGTCCTGCACCACAATTTGCTAGAGAAAGGCAGTAACATACCTGATTGGCATAACTGATACCCATGTTCGCCCATGCCCGCACGTAATTAGGCTTCAAATCTAGAGCCTGAAAATTAATAGATATAATCACGACATTTGGATATAAGATTTTTGTTTTGTTTGGATTTTTTAGTTTTGTTTGGTTAATTTTGAAAATGGTGGTATGGTTAGTTGTTAGTGGGATTTTGAGTGTATATTAAAATAATATTTAAAATAAGATAATTAAAGTTGATTTGATGTAAAAGTAGGAGTGATGGTTAGTTAAAATTATGTGTGGATGAATAGTGGATTAAAGTTGATCTAATGTGTAAGAATTATTGATTGATGTTATTTTATTATATTGATTGATAATATTGAGGATAGTGGGGTTAAGTTAAAGGGGAGTTACACTTGAGTTAAAAAAAAGTGATTGATTAAAAATGATTATATTTTTTTGAGAAATTTTGTATCCAAGCATGGGCGCTTCAAGAAATATCTAGCTTTGACAGTGTTTTTCCACCAGTCTCTGACCAATTTATCCACTGATTTCCACCAGAAAATGTCGTAACTAAGTAACTAGCATGCTATTACATACAACAACATGCAAAAGTACACTAATGTACCACCTTTGGTTATCATGAGAGGATGAGATCTAAACTAATTACCTGTTGATAAGCCAAAATTGCATCAGAACTCTGGACACTATTAGCTTGTGTTGCACCAAGCTTATTCCAAAGAGAGTAATCACGGGGTTTAAGTTTCAAAGCTGTCTGAAAGGCATCAATGGCTTTGTCATATTCTCTGGATAAATTGTACAGCACTCCAAGAACAATGTGTACATCAGCATCATCAGGGGACAGTTTCGCTGCATCACTAAACAACCTAGCCACCTGTACAATCACAACAATATGTACAGTATGAATACTTCTCCATGGCCTTCAAATATGTATAAAATAAAATCACGATCAGATCTGGTTGGCACAGATCACATAAGGCTCCCATTATAATGAACTGTACTTAATAAGCACAATTTTTAATATAAAATGCAAAAACTGTGGTGTCTGCTTTTGAGTATTCTGTGGTCCACAAAGATCCTTACATCAGCATAGTACAGATTCTCAGGCTGATCTGGGGAGGCAATAGCTCCATACTTGGGATGATGGCGTAGCCAGCTGTACAAGTACTTCAGGGCAGCCGCTTGTTCCAATTCTGGAAAAATGTGAACAATAATTAATGTTTTGTTTTCTTACATGCTAATTATCACACATTCACATAATACACAAAACTATTGTGTTTGGAGAAAAATGTCACTCCCTAAAACAATTTACATAGTAGATCACCTGGAGTTTAACCGTATGCCAACAAAAAAAAAAATTAACTATATGTAAATGATAATTTCAAGCATACTTGGTAAAAAGGTACCTTACGAAATACTGAATAAAAATGCTTATCAAGTTTTTCCAAATTTCATGCACACAAAACCAAAAGGTTTTCCCTATTTGAGGTTCCTCACAAAATAAAATATGAAAATGATATCCTAAAAATACTATGAAGATAAATAATAATAATAACATAAGGTACAAAAACATAATGCTCTGGATATTATATATAATATCAACATGAGGTGTATACATATATATAAATAAAAAAACTCAACTACAGATATATCATATAATGATATACTTCCTCCATCCCACCAGAACAAACTTGTAACAATTTAAGCACAGATTAAGGAAAACAATTATTGGGAAAGTAAAAGGTACACCAAATAAATTATTTTTTGATTATTAGTAACTGTACAATGGGTTGTTTCATCAATTAAATACACCATATGGTAAGAAGTCATCCTTTAGAACACCTTATGTAGAAATGCGGCCCATTTTTTTGGGACTGAGGGAGCAACAATTTTGGCCAGAGATAACTTCAGAAAATGAGAGGCCATGAATTTTGCAACTACTAACCATTTGTATGGCTCACACCAAGAGCCAGAAGAACTTCCAGGTTCGTTGGATCAACTTCTTGAGCACGCATCATGGCTGCAATTGCCTGAGACATCGAAATTTTACTCAGGATAGGTAAATAAACATGAAATAGAATTTAATTGTATGTCTCAGAAATGTGAAACATAAGCATCTTTGTCCTACAAAATCTACACTAGCCAAAGATATCATCATCAGATTTCATACTAAAAACAGCAAAGGCGAATGAAGATGTTGTGTTGAACATGACATGTACCAACAGAAACTCTCAAGCAACATAAATGTGTTTACAACTCGTTGACACAGGTCATAACAAAAAATAAAACATGAGCTTCATGTAATTTCAGGGAATAATAAACTTAATTTGACCTGTTGATCATCATCATTTTCTGCATGAGCTACACCAAGTAACCTCCAACCTTCAGCGTTGTCGGGATTCTTTAGAACCTCGGCTTCCAATGCAAGAACTGCTTCACTTAAAAGCCCCTTGCGGAAAAGTTCATGCCCTTCCTTTAAAGGATTAGGATGGCCAACATATGGATTCATATCAGAGAACACATACACGCCCCGTGATGTTCCTGACTTCTGCTTTAGTGCTGCTTGCTCATTAAGGTACCTACATACAAGTCCAGAAGTATGTTTGTACAACCATATAAGCATTTTTTACTACATTAAATATCACTGGATTTCCAGCTAAAGGAAAGACATCATACACATATTTGTCATCAACAGAACGTAAGTGTATAGTGCACAGAACATAAAAAGGCCAAGCAATAATTCAGTACTAATGGACCAGCACATACATATACTGGAATTGCATCTTTTAACAGATGACACAGCCATGAAAAGTATATAATTCCACACTATGGGTCGACGTTTTTAACTCTAATTCACAATGGATGATGTTTCCAGAAAAAATTATGAAGATAAAAACATCAACATATATATGATTTCAACTTGAACAGAATTGGGACACAATTTGAGATTTTATCCATAGAATGACGGAGTAATATAACCACATATTGCGAAGAAAACATTATAATAGAATACATGACATTATTTTGTATTTTGCATGAACATTTATTGGACTACGTGAAAAGACAAAGAAATTAATTAATCGGAGGAACATGTACAAAATTTTTCCTCCCCGATGAAATCCTAAACCAAAAAAATTACACCCACATTTTTACAGTGTGTGGTGGATTGTCCTGTACAGATGAAATTACACCCAAATTTTTACACATGATTGTTAGTTCAAATAAAATAGTGTTCCACTCCCCCACAGTGATTGCTTCTCTTGATAACTCATGAAATATAATTGTGCAATGTCAATTTTCTCTCCTACCCAAAAAAATTTACCATTCGGCGCTCTTGTTTTCTTCTTGTTCTCGTTCAGTAACACCACCAGAATTTTGCCTTTCTCTTTCTATCCTTTACTTCCAGTCCTTTTCTTTTAATTCCACTTCAATTTTTTGCCAATCTTTTTTTCTCAACAAAAGGAATGGAACCTTCTTCTTGCTGCTAGAGACAATTTTTTTTCCTCTTCTCATATTTTCCTTTTCGTTCCCAATTTTCCCATATACCTTATTCTTCACCTTTCCACCATTGTCACCTCGCTCCATTGCACCATCACCGTACCGCTCTTCTTCAAGAGCAGGGTTAAGATTTGCCACCCAAAAAATGGGTGTTTCTGATTTCTTCAATTGTTCATGTCATTGAAGCAATTGGGGTGTTTCAATCAGCCTTTGTAATGAATTCAAAAGTTAGGCCATCCTTCCGGGATGCAAAATCTTTTGCTTCTCCGCTCGCTCCTTGCCGCCTGTGCCGTCACCTGTTAACTGATTTGTTTTTCAGATTCATGAAACGAGGGACAAAGTGGACAATTTACAAAGGTTGATAAAAAAATTCACGGAACCCTCCCCTGGATTGAGTTATCACCTATTTCCATGATATGTTAGGATTCAATCCCGGGCCGTTAGATCCTGAGGGCCGCAATCATGGTATTCAAACACCAAATATGGACCACATTAGAGGCGTCATCCTATTCTATCAAGGGAAACAAACGAGCCTTAGGGATTACAACACTTGTAAAGAAATCCCATCATTAAGAAGAGAAGTAAACAAATGAAATGATGGGCCTAGTGATCATATTCTGACAGGTGGCACGTACTTACTGAAACAATAGTGCAAAACGCCAGTCCCAGTGACCTATATCCTCTAGGAACCTAATTTTGCTACCTGCTCCAACAACGATTCTCACTGACTGGAGGAAAAACATATACGCATCAGAAATGAGTTTCCATGGACTTGTAAAAGATGATACTAAGACCACATTGCAGTATTCTCTTTCGTTAATCCGTCCTATACTTGCTAAAGTATCACCCTACCCAGCAAAGAATCCTTTTTCACGGCTAAACCTCCTCCGTAAGATTTTATCAAAAGTTTATTTCTCAAACTATAATTCCTATTCTTAATCCTCCACTGTTAGCTCTCGTAACTGTTCTCCAAGCAACCATATAGGTGACAATGAAAGTACAATCAACTCAATCCCATCAACAGTCAATGATCTGGTCTATGATGTTTGTAATCCCTATAGGATAGTCGCAAACCTGAAAATCAACATATAATGTACGGGATCATCCAACATTCCTGACATTACATAGGTGACAATGAAAGTACCATCAACTCAATCCCATCAACAGTCAATGATCTGGTCTTTGATATTTGCAATCCCTATAGGAAAGTCCGAAACCTAAAAATCAACAAATAATATATGGGATTATCCAACATTCCTGACATTAATGTTAACCTCTCCTCTTGAGTGTCTTTTTCTACTCTGCTAATCTTCTAGAACCTTAGCCATAACAGAGATAAAAGCCATTTTCTTATCTTCTTTCCTCGGTATTTACCGCTACGCCCCTGTGCTATCAAGAAAAAGGAATACCCGACAAAGTCCCATCTACTCATAGCGGGTTATTTCACTCCTAAATTCAGGCAGTGAATTTTAAAATGATGCTTCTAAAGAACTTTCCCCAGAGGTGTTCGTAGATACTTTTAAGGCAACTCTCATCAGATTCTACCTCATTCACCACCTCGGTCACCATAGCAAGCTTAATCATATCTCATTCAAGCTAATGCCCAGAGATGTGTTTATTTCCAAGTGACCTTTAACCACAATTATTCGGGAATAATTCCACCAACTGAAATAGCCATCTTACTTTGGAAGTGGATTTCCTCATCAAAGAACATGTAAACAGATGTAATTCTTTATACCAATTTCTGCCATTGAAAGCCCTTGATTATAGGCTAACTCAGTCTACTCTAGGGCATTGTGTCCGGTTTTCACAGCTTTCAGTAGGCACAGCAGAGGATTAGACGGTATGCTAACCATTCCTCTGGGTGACCTCAAACATCACCTATGGCTGGTAGGTTATGTGGCTAATCTGAGCACCTGAACACTTATCACATCAAGGCGGGAGCAGAAGTTGAAACTGATTGTGGTGAAACTTCGATTTATCTATTCTAGAATATCATGCCAAGCTAACCTGTTCTGCCTAGGTGCTTGGATCCCTTTAATGCCTATGTTTTGCTTCCAGTTAAGCCTTGCCTAGGTACTATCACTTTCACCTAGCAACTGTCAGCGAGTTCTAGAACATTATTCCAACCACCTCCAAATATCCACAAAAGGAACTTTTAATTGATAGTGGATCTTCCAGAAAGAAAAAGAGAAAAGGAAGATAAAATGCAGGGAAACAAGAACTAACCGACAACATGGTGCAATCATACAGACATTCCATTAAGGATTGCATCTAATCTTTGATTCCAGATAATTTGGTTCATGTTTTTAAACAGCAAACTGGGCCAAGATTAAAGTAGAATAGACATCTTGAATGTAGAAGTTATTATCTATTCTAATACACAACTTACTCATCATATGCATTTGCCCAATTATCAGCAGAACCATCGCCAAAAGTTCCATCAGCAACTTGGCGCTCAAATTCTTCTGACCAGCCATTGACATTTAATTTGGAAAATTCATTGACCCACTCATCCTCTCCATGTTGCTTTTGCTCAGCAGCAAACTCATTTGCCCAGCCATGAGGTCCATGTGACAGCTGAATATAGTAAAAATTTCAGATACCAACATTTACACACTGGCCATTGCTCTAAAGCTATACTCTCTCTAGAATAATAGACAGAGATTGTATGATTTTCATTTACTACCAACTAGAAATTCTCCAACTAATCAACAAAAATGAAGCAAACATGTATATTTTTAAGCATACAAGTAAACATCTGGAATGGCACAGAACAAGAGCACTCGTTCATGAGGTCTATATATATTGTGCTTGCCTGCTCATTTGCAAATTGGTTAACCCATGATTGCCCTCCACTGTATTGCTGCTCGTATTCTGTTGCCCAGTCTCCAGGTGAAGAAAATGTTGCTGGCTTGAATTGATTATCCTCGATGGTGAGTTCACCACGGCTCATTTTCGATACAAACTGGAGGAACTTTGAATTCTAGTCGTACAAAAAAATATGAAAAGAAAAATTAAGAAAAAATCTTGAAACAACAAAATCGAACAACAAAAAGGTCTTTATTCATGCAGATGGACTTTTTATTACAATCTTGTTGCACATTCAAATATAATGGCTAAAGAAAACATAAATTGAAATGATATCATTAATATGGTAAGCATGATTTATACTCACATGTGCTTTTAAAACATAAATTAAAATGAAATAATTAATCTGGTCAGCACGATTTATACTCACATGTGTGTTTCTTTTCAAGCTATACGAGTAATGCAATTATCAGCAATCTAGTGCTGCTAAATAGTAGTTTTTTTCATCAGTTATCACCAATTCAGGCACAATATATTAGAAGTAAAGATCTACACACCGATCATACAACAAAATGAGTAAATTACTGAATGTAGTAGTACAATTTGCAATCATTGTTAATATGGGAGCACACCTGAAACTTTGGATCATTATTTTGAGCAAGTGTGTGTGCTAATGCACGTGTCTGCTCCATGGCAGCTAAGTTAGCAGTATTTGAACCTCTCATTTGATCAATTGAAGCAAGTTGGGACTGTTCCTGAAATTTTAGATGATATAGCAATTAAGGAACCGAACCAACTGCAATTGTCAGGTCATACATAGACAATTTCAAATAAGACTAAAGCAAATGTAACGAAAACAGAGTGTTCCAGTAGGTCTTCAAACGAACTAAATAATTGCAGCAGAACTAGTCAAAGTCAGGCGGGAGTTGGTTAGTAAATCTATGCAACTTCTCTCTCACATTCTTAGTTTATCGGCCAGATGCAGGGTTATTCAGCCATGATTGTTCTCTGGAAACCTAAAAGATCAGTGAAAGACTACTTGATAAGCAAGCCTTACATCCATCCCTCATTCCTGCACATCCTTAATTTATTTACGCAATCCTATAGCCATTGAATGCCCAAGAAAACAAGTTCAAGACTGCTGAACAATTGATATTCTCCCAAAAAAACAAGTCAGAACAGCCAAGAGATGTGCATCAAAAAAATTTCTGCATCCATATCTTTTCTTGGGAGCATAACAATATGACTTGTGATCCAGTGCACGTAGAAATCTACTTTTTTCTGTGATAAAGGCTACCATGGATGTTCTCACGGTGATGAACTGAGAAAACTTATGCATGGAACTTCCTTAAAATCATATTGTTTGAATATGCCATTTGTTCAAATCAGTATATCGAAATATAATTAAGGGTAACTACTAAATTATAGTTCTTCTCCCAATTCCCAAACAAAATAAGCGCATACTGGATAAACAGGACTATAATTGAATTGCAACGAAAGTTTAAACTCGGACCAATCTTTTACTAGAAGGATTGAACCGAATACAAATCTTCGTTCGTATGTAGCGCCCCTCAGCGAAACGGAACAACATTGCTGCCATTGAAATAACAATAGAAGAGAGATTTTCTTACATGCTCAAACTCAGATGCCCAACCATTCGAACCATGTTGTCGTTCAAATGACTGAACCCACATATTTGGATCATCATGAGGTACTTGATGTTGCATGAATTCAGAAACCCACCCATCTGCACCAGGCATCCCAGGTTTCATACCTTGGGACTCATTCCAATACTCCTCTAACTCTGGATACCGACCAGGAATTGGACCTCTAGCCCGGATATCATTGTCGATATCTAAAGACGACAAGAGGGCATTAACCTGACAAGGTAACATATTTCAGGTCACCAGAAGAATGAAAAGGTACAAGTTTTTTCTAAAGCATATAAAAGAACAAGTCCAGGAACTACTAAATTCCAACTTTCCATGCTCATGTGCTGAAGCTCTACCAGACACATGAACAGAAGAGCTTCTCAAATATCAACAGATACATATTAAAAGGTTCAAATCTTATTTTGATTTGAGGAAAAATAAACCTCCAGAACTTCAAACTACAATAACCCATGTTACTACAAAAATTACAGCCTAAAACAATGTTAGCCACTGGATAATGCTCATACATATAAAAAAAGAAGCACGTTACAGTGGTTGAACAAAGTCTAAACAGAAGTCACAGATGGATAATAATTGCAGCCAAGAAAAAAATCATCCTATAACTTGCATATTGCGTATTTAAAAATATGAACCAAACCTGTGATTGAATGAAGTCTTCACTTTTGTCTGCAAAAAAATGACGAGCCATAATACTGCTGCGGTCTCGTATGCATTGCTTATCACCTTCAGACAATCCTAAAACTGGAAGGGAAGTTGGACGAAAAGGTATGGTACCATGATTGCTATGAAGAAATGAGTGCAAGAAGTTTGACAATACTCTTTGTGGTGGCCCTGCAATATAAATTAAAACAGGTTCTTATAAAGGCTGAAGCTCGCAGAATTTTCTATGATGTCCAGGAAAGTATTAACAAAAATGCAGTAGAAGCTTAATTGAAAAGTAAAGTTGCCACATTGGAAAAGAAAACTAGCAATCCTAGGACTACCAAGTTAAATAGATCATCTCTACCATTAAAATATGGAAGAGAGTCTTCTCCCATAAAAGTAAATGGAACACTACATCAATTTGCTAATGTAGTGTACAACGATAGCCCTATGGATGGTTTATTTCTGGCCTGAGCTCTTCTTTCGATAAAGCTCATATTTTAGCAGTTCGGTCATGCACAACTCCCCAATGAGTCACTCAAAGACAGTATCCCAATTGAATTCATCTGACACAAAACCCCTCATTATTGAAACTCCTTAATCTGCAGAGCCAGCCTTTATCAGCCTTTCAACTTCTAATATAATACGCCATTCAACACATCATCTCAAAGCACCTGCGCCCGACACCTTGCTTGTCCAGTCTTCTCCATCAATCCTGGCACCATCGATTCTCCTTCAGCCTTTCCTACATCTTGACCTATCAACTCAACGACAATAACCAACACATACGGCACCAAGGTGCTGGAGCACCCCACTACTCTGAGCCCATACCTCCATCAATCATCGGTTGTCAACCAGAAATTAGATTACATGCACTTCAAAATGGTATTTTTTTTTGGGGGGGGGNGCGGGGAGGTCTTTCGTATTTTGGGGTCGTTCAGTTGTTCCTTGACAGTAATAATAATATGGTTTTGTGTATTACTCTTTTCTTGTAAATCAAAAATCTGATGCTACGGTTCTAGTTCCCATAAATTCACATGTAAGTTCATCATGTATTTTGCCAACTCACAATTTGATTATACTTTTCTACGTTCCACATTCCCAAGCAATATTTTGATTCGTGTCTTTTGGTATTTTGCATGTACCTTTCATATTACCATGGACTATATTCATATTTTTGGATTATTGAATCTATATTTATCATTTATTCAAACTATTTCTTTTGTTTTGGGCTTTATGAGTTGTAACTGGTCACTCAACTATTGATTATGTTCATCTAAAAAAGAGATAACTGTGAACAATAATGATGCAAAGCAATAATTATTAAACAATAGCAAAGGTAAAAAAATAACGATACCATCAAAATCTTGCGGAAGCCGAGGTTTCTCTAAAGGAAAGTACGTTGGACCAGGTGGAGCTCTCTGAATCTCATCCCAAGCATCAGAAAACCTACTTTGATCTGCAGAGCGAAAGCCTTGAAGGAATTCAGAGCCCTGAAAGAAATAGATATTCAAGCCTGCCCCATAGATCCAAATTGGAAACAGCTATAAATAGAAAAATAGATAAATAAGTATCAACCTGGGTATTAGGATGTAGTGCATGCTGCATCTCTGATCCTGGAAGGGCTACTGAAAAGGGTTCTTCAACCCCTGCATATACATTGCCATCTGATACCGTAGTGGTTGCAGTAGGTATCTCTCGAAGCCTTTCCTGCTTGGTGATACATCAATTTATTTGTATGATGTATCAAAGAATAAAGTTTATATACCATAGAGCACCTTAGCGAGTGTGTGAGTGTAACTCATGCAGTAATTCATCACATAAGGTTGTGATCCATTTAATGAGCTCATATTTCTGCCATGTCTTGTATTCAGTACTAAGGACAATGACACAGTGTACAGAAAGTCTTCAGAGGTAACGAGATCAGGTGAGATAGAAAACATAAATCAGAAGCCTAACACAACACGGAGGCCATTGGTAAGGTTTCTTTAATTTGGATTCATTGAGCTTCCTATCCATTTCAGTTTTTCCATTTGTTATTACCTCCTACAAGCTGCACTAGTTATATAAAAACCATCATGCTTAGTAATCCTCTAGCCTAATTGAAGACAACAAACATCAGAAAAATACAAACATCCTGCAGTGGGTTAAAAACCAATTGTCCAAAAATGTGCCATAGGTAACAGTTACATTTACATTAATCTCAGACGTTCCAACATGATATATTGGAAATTCGCAAACATTCCACTTAATGTCATGGTGTTTACAAAGATGCCAGTGCTGTCTATTAGGAGTTGCGACCATAAATCAACCCAGATCGATTATTATTTCAACGCAGAGTATCATTTCGTGTAGAGAAAGTGGAGGCATTTTTGCAAATTTCCCTACTTTGAAAACAAACACATAACAGTTCTATCAAAAAGAAAAGAAAGACGGAAAGATGAACATGGTACTAATGACTGGAAATAGAAAGCATTTTGAAAACATCAAACGTTACTTGAAAATGTTATTTCTCTCTTGCCCCAATTTTAATGTTTTTCCACTAACTAAAAGAATGAAGCTTGCGCAGACCGCATTTTGACTTAATTGCTCAACTAAACCTGAGACAAGCTCCACGATGGGAGTTATACAAAAGGAAAAATAAGATCGATAACCTGAGTTTTTGAAGATGAGCCAATAAGGGCGTTGGCGAGAGCACCGAGAGGGTTAGAAGAAGAAGAGGAACCCGGCACCGCGCAAGCGGCGCCACCGCTCACCAGCTCCCGCATGGCCATACTGATAGAATTTCCAGTGTTCTTCCGGTAATTAAAAGGAATTGCGATGGCGATTGAGCTTATCTCGGTGATATACTATTTGGGAGCACAGAATTCTGAGGTTGGGGATAGTCAAGGACACATACACACGAAGTCCATATGTGTTGTAGGGTGATCATGTTGTCATCGGAAAGTGTGATGACATAATAATATATATTTTTTTTTTCACGATAAGATTTAGGTTGGTTTGGCATACAATGCCGTAACAGTTTTCTTATAGAGGCATTGGATTATTGAGGTTATGAAGTCATCCATAATTATTCATAAATGATATATTAAATTTATAGCGTGGATTTTTTTTATATCATTTAAATTAGAATACGAATAATTTTCTATATTCGAAAGTTAAACAAATTCAAATTTTGAATTTATAGATATTCGATTAAAAATTATCGAATATTCGATTCGTTAACGATAATTATATAAATTTTTATAGATTATACATAGTATAGATTATATATATATATGATTAAAAATTATCGAAGATTCGATTTGTTAAAGATAATAATATAAATTTTATAGATTATATAAAATATAAATTATATTTAGTGTATATATATATATATATATTGATATATTCTTAATATTTTTATTACATAAAAAAATAAAAACATATCAAATTAACAATTTGCTCTAATCACGTCCACGGACTTCTCTCTAAGTTCATACGCCCTCCTCTCCACGTTTGTCATCTCCTCCACTCTCCCGTCGTCCGGCGTCCCAGAAAATTTGCTCATAGATGGCGGGCCTAAGAAATGCATGCCCAAGCCGCCTCCGTCTCGGGCCACGGGTTTGGCGGGTCAGGCCCGCCATTTTCTTTAAACAAATCTTAAAATTTTGGATCAAAATTATAGCTCATAGTTTTTCCAGCCCATATTTTATCAAATCCTTTGCAACGATAAAAATTGTAAAAAGACAAACAAAGAAGAGGGAAAAAACAAAATAAAAAGAAAATCCTCAGCAGTCGAAAAAAAAACCTTTCCTTCTTCATCTCAAACTAGTAATCACCCGTGCGATGCACGGGGAAATTATTATCTATACGCTTTTTAGAATGTACTTTTGTATATAAATTATGTAATAATGCAATGATCATGATCATAAGAATAGACATATAAACATATAATTAAACTGAAAAGATCATATATTCTTGAACACTTCCCTATATACAACATTATTGGTTTACTTCTTTGGCATGTCATGTTCACCACAAATTGAGATTTTCAAACATTTTCGGTAAGTGACATGTGAGACAACAACATATAACTGGCCATGACTAAACACTGGTTTCTTAATAAATAAGCAAACATGAGATAAGGATTGTCCCTGTCTCTTATTTATAGTCATGGCGCAAGAAACCATAATGGGAAATTGCCTCTGTTGGAACTTCAAAGGAATTCTAACATCATAAGGAGTTATGGTCATTCTTGGAATCAACACCTTATCCCCAGCATGATCTCCTGTGAGTATCTTACACTCAAGAACATGACTGGATAGCTTTGTCACAACCAATCATGTTCCATTACACAAACCCATAAAATGATTCATGTTCCGCAACAACATGACCGGAGTTCCAATTTTCAAATACAACTCATAGTTCGGTATTTCGGAACACTTGATGCTATTAAAAAACTCAGGCATATGGTGTTCAGACAAAAAATCATTATTAGAATCCGATTTGCATGTACTGTCAGAACTCAAGTACATATGACCATCCAACAAATTCAATGATGTCATGTATTCATTGATAGACTCGTCTACATCCAACGTCGGCGCTATAATTCAAATTACAAATCAACTCCCAATTTTTCAAAGAATTAAAAAAAAGTTATCAATTGTAGTAAAATCTAAAATTTTAGGCGAGAACTTTTTTTCAACTTAAGTAAATCCCTATTGTTATTTTATAGTATTAGATTGAATTTCCAAAAGAACTAAGTCAAAGGTTTTGACTTAAATTTTTTTATCAAGTTTCTATAAATGATTTTTTAATCAACCTCTTTCAATATATATGTAGATACAGATATATATATATATATATATATAGATATATAAGTACATATATAGTACTCCCTCCTTTTTTTAATAAATATTGTTTTGAAAAGTTGCACAGTAATTAAGAATATTTTTTTGTAAATAATAACCCTCATTAATAAGGATAGAGATGGATGTTTTGAGAAAAGATTAAGAATGAATATGAAAAGATGTAGTGTATTTATTAGTTAGATTGGGGTAATAATGAAAAAATATGTACAAAAAATCCAAAACGTCATTTATTTGGTTAATTGTTAATAAAGTCAAAATGACATTAAAAAAAAAGGAGGTAGTATCTATTAATATATAAAAAAAGGATTTATTATATATAATAATTTTAAACTTACCAAGAATGTTTAAATTACTTATAACGAAACTTGGTTTATATGGCTTGATATTACATTTACATTGATATATTTTGATCTCCTACAATCATGCTCCCTAAGTAACTAATAAATTAGATACCTTTGGTGTATATATTTCACATGTGACCTTTCAATTCGGAAAGAATCAATTGACATTATCCTCATCCACAATTCAACATCATCCTCCCGGTTTTTTTATTAAGAAATTGATTCGAATATTGCTTTTAAAATCTCATTTTTTTACTCAAATTGCACGTGCTTTTAAACAAATTTTCCTAAATTAGTAAGTCAAACAAATTAATTAATAAGTCAAGCATTCTATTTAAGTATTTTTCGAACAACCTTTTTATATATATTAAAAAGAATCATTATTTACTCCTGAAAATGAAGCCGATTTTTCTACCAATAAACTGATTTTTTTATCAAACAAATTGATCCGAATATATTTTTAAACCAAATAAAAAATCATCAATTTTTCCTAAAAATGCAACCGAATTTTCCTAACACTGCACCGATTTTTTTACTAAACAAATTGAATTGAAAATAATTTTAATAAAAAAATGGAACAATTTGTTAATGTTTATGCAACTGTCTCTTTCCTAAAGAAAATGATATGAACTTAACAAAATAAAAAATGATATGAACTTACCAAAATCTCGGTAAAACATGGTTAAGAAAAAACATAAGAATCCAAAAAAATCGATGCATTTAAATTTTGAAAAGTTGCACACAATTTTTCCTAAATAATTGGATAAGGTGACTTTAAATATCAAAGATGAATCGCTTTTGTTACCAAAAATGTGGACACAATTTTGAATGTACATCCCGTCCAAATATCAGTTTTATTCTAAAATAAAAATTGCACGTGGTTTTATCCAATTTACACACTTTTTTCTTAAAGAAAAAATTATTCAATAAGATTGGAAGAATTGGTTAAGAATTATACAACTATTTGTTTCCTAAATTCGTATCCAATTTGTACGGTTTTTACGTTAATTTGTATTTAGAATTGTTTTCATAAATAATTGACACATTTTTTGCATAAGAATCTCCAAATTTATTACCAAAATATATGATTTAAATTTTTGTAAAAAAAAAAATATATATGATGCGAAAAAAATGGGATTCAAATTTTGCCATAAGAATCTCCAAATTAGTTACCAAAAAAATAGGATTCAGATTTTGTTACTAAAGATTCACATGTATTTTTTCGAACTTTCCATTTATAGTAAGTCAATTGTTTTATTTATTAGGTCAAACTTTCTATTAATGTATTTTTCCAACAACCTCTTTATATATATATAGATATAGATATAGATATAGATTCCTAATACTCTCAAGTTAGTTCCTTGGTTGGGTTCTCAACATCGCCCCTCCTGACGGCGGCCCCAACTTTGAATTTGCGAGACTGAAATTCTTGAATATAAGATGTTTTGATTTTGTTTGGATTTTTTAGTTCGGTATGGTTATATTTTTAAAAAGTGGTATAACTAGTTGTTAGTAGGATTTTAAATTTATAATAAAACAATATTTAAAATAAAATAATTAAGTTTGATTTGATGTAAAAGTAGGAGATAAATGATGTGAAGTGATGATTAGTTAAAATTATGTGAGTGAATTAAAGTTGATGTAATGTATAAGAATGACTGAGTGATATTATTTAATTATATTGATAATATTGAGGATAGTGAGGTTGAGTAAAATTGAATTAGATTTGAGTTAAAAAAAAATAATTGACTAAAATGATTGGATTTTCTAGAAAAAATTTGTATCCAAGCATGCATTGAGTGCTGAAGGGGGGCCGACGACGATTGAGATTAGCTTGGGGTTGGTGGGATTAAGACTAGCGCGGGGGGTCGACGACTGAGTGCTCGATGGCAGAGCACGGAGAGGGCGGATGGCGGCAAACGTGCGGAGGATGGAGGCAATTTTTGGTTCGATGGAGTTTGGGCTTGTTGAGTCGAGAGCTTGAGGATTGAGGGTTGAGGCACAAGTAGACGAAATGAGATCGAGAGAGTTGAGGAGTCGTTATATTTTTATTAATTAATTGTTTTTTAGTTTTTTAATAATTAACGAGTCAGCCCGCAGGTAGCCCCACTCTAGTCCACAACACGCGCGGGTTGGCTCGTATTGGCCCGCTCTCTAGTGGGCTTAGAAAATTTCAGTCCAACCCCTTCTTTTGGTAGTGCAGGACGAGCTGGCCCGCGGATTTAAACCCGTTAACAGCTATAATCACATGTGGTTTATGGTTACAGTCGGGTCTGATGGGCCTAGTTTTCCTTATTTCTCGAGCCCTCTTCGAAANTTCAGGATTTTTTTTTTTTTTTAAAGAAAAAAATTCAGCTGAGCAGCGCCTTGAAACCTCTCAGAACCATGTCGTCTTCTTCGAGCAGCGGCCTAACGTTCAAGCTCCATCCTCTCGTCATTGTCAACATCTCTGATCACTACACTCGGGTCAAGTCCCAGTCTCTTCCGACTCCGGTCACCCCTAGCGGCGGCGATACTTCGGCGGTTTCTCTTCCCTCGCCGCCTCGCGTGTACGGATGTGTCATCGGTGTCCAGCGCGGCCGCACCGTCGAGATCTTCAACAGCTTCGAGCTTCTTTACGACGTCTCCACCCACTCGCTGGACCGCGCTTTTCTCGAGAAGAAGCAAGAGCTTTGTGGGTACTTTTATATTATTAGGTTTCTTCTAAGGGAACTTAAATATACTGATCTTTTGATGTGTTGAGCAGATAAGAAGGTGTTTCCGAATTTTTACATCCTGGGATGGTACTCAACGGGGAGCGATGCGCAAGAGTCCGATATGAATATTCACAAAGCTGTGAGTGAGCTCTTAGTTTTCTTCTGCATTATTCATGATTGATAGGGTTATATTGTGAATTTTCTTCTTTGTGTTGTTTATCACTTGCATTTGCTAACCCTAATGCGAGTGACATGGAGAAAAATGGTGTGAAGTTGAAGTCAGTTTTCTGGAGAGTTAGGTGCTGAATTTTTGTATTTGCTCTAACTTTTAGTTTTGTGCTGCACCACCTTTCTTGTTAATTCCTACTAACGATGAGCCTACTGCAGAAGTGAATGATATATGATTTGGCAATTTTCACCAAAATAAGAATTGATGAGAAATTACCCAAGTATAACCGGGTTTTAAACAATAAACCCGTACACGATTGATATAATTTATACCTTAGATTTTTCATTTATTATAATGTTTAATTGTGTTCCCTGTTATTTCATACGTTTTTTT